TGCCCAAGAACAAGCCCTGCAGACCAATTCCATGAAAACAAAAACTCAACATGTCAGTGACAACAGCAAACATTGCTTATGCAACAAGAAAGATAGTTTCTCATTGTAGTGGATCACCTTATCAGTAGCTGCAACAAAATCTCACAAACTGATTATCTACAACATCATAATCAAGTTGCCAAAATCATACATTGGAAGCTTTGCTAGAAGTTTGGATTCAAATGCAGCAAAAATTACTGGGAACACCAAATTGACGAAGTTCTTGAAAATGAACAGGTCAAAATCTTGTGGGACTTTGGAATCCAAACTGACAGACATTGGCCCACAACACAGCTGACATTGCTATTGTGGAAAAGAAAAAAAGTCTGGTTCATTGATATGGCAATACCAGATGATGCACGAATTGAAGAGAAACCGCTAGGAAAAAAAAAATAAAATACAGTAGAACCTCTGGTCACAAACGCTTCTGACCACAACCAAATCTGGTTCTGACCAAAAAATTCACACATATTTTTTTTCACGGCCAATTTCCTCTTCAGTGCCATTTTTTGGGAAGTGCCAAATTTCCCAAATTAAGTTCGGATCATGACCAAATAGATTTGCGACCAAAGTTATGGAACAAATTATGGTGGTGACCAGAGGTTCTACTGTACTGCGAGCTGCAAATTGAAGTTGAGCGACTATGGAGGGAGAAATCAATGATTGTACCAATAGTAATAGAAGCCCTTGGAGCAATACCCAAAGGGCTGCCTAGATAAATGAAATTTTTGAACTTATCAGACCTGAATATTCTGACTTTGCAAAAAGAACCCTTACACAGAACTCCTGTGTACTCAGATGTTACTTTAACAGCTCCTAGGTTCTTGTTTAGGACTTGAATTGTTAAGTTTTTACCAGTCCTAGAGTGTGAATCAAATTGAAGATTAAATCAATTAATAATAATAATAACATTTTTTTAAAGTTAAAACTTGTTTCATGATTGAAATAATTCAATTACATTGAAAATATAATTTGAAACAGAGGAAACATAATGAATTCAGAATATTTTGCGAATACAACCAGAAAGTGCAATAGAAAGATGAAATTATACACAATTCACAGTGCCATAACTGCCTAGTTCAGGGGTCTGCAACCTTAAATACTCAAACAGCCACTTGGGCCCGTTTCCCACAAAACCTGGGTGGGCGTGGCCAACTCAACATCACTCAGTCCCACCCAGTCACATGACACCCTCAGCCACGCCTACCCAGGTTTTGTGGGTCTCTCTCTTTCCCCCCTCTCTCATCTTTCTCCCTCTCTTTCTCCCTCTCCCTTTCTCCCTTTCTCCCTCCCTTTTTCCCTCTCTCATCTTTCCTCTCTCTCATCTCTTTCACCCTTCTCTTCTCAGGGCAGGTGAGGAGTGAGGGTAAGATATGGGGCTACCCAGTGGCGGGATCACCCAACGGTGCTGCAGGAGAGGATCCAAAGAGCCGCATATGGCTCTAGAGCCGCACATTGCTGACACCCGGCCTAGTTTAAAATACTATGTTTCCCTGAAAATAAGCCCTACTCCAAAATAAGCTCTACTTAAGAGCCTGAGCAGCCGCCCGGCTGCCCATTCCATCTGGTTGCTTGCAGTGCCGCAGCCACAAGGCAAGACAGGATGTTGATGGAGCTGCCTCATGTATCCCACACTGGCTGACCTCAGGGGGCCCGCAGCCAGGCCATCCACGCCCCGACAGCCGCCTTGTGGCAGCAGCACCAACACCCATGTGCAGCAGGAGCCCACATGACTGCTGGCCCACTTCTTCTGCTCACTTGTGGCCTCAATGGAGCAGGAGGCCAAGTGGTATGTTGGTGTGGCCACGAGGTGAGGCAGATGTCAGGGAATGAACAGGCTGGCTGCAGGGCCCTGAGGTAAGCCGATAAGGGGCACATGGGCAGCTCTACCCGCCTTGCCTCATGGCTGTGATACTGGCACGTCGTTTTGCCTCCTGCTCCATTGTGGCTGCAAGCAAACAGAAGAAGTGGGTTGGTGGCCATGCGGGTCCTGCTGTAATGGGCTGGTGGAGCCTCTGCTGCAAGCAAGGCACATGTTGGAGCATGGGTGGCCTGGCTGCGGGGCCCTGAGGTAAACTGCTGCAGTGTGCATGGGGCAGCTCCACCCCTCTGCATCACAGAGGCGGCACTGGCATGCCATGTGGCCTCCTGACCCGTCACAAGCAAACAGAAGAGGATCTCTCTTACATGGGAAAAAAAATAAGACACCCCCCGAAAATAAGCTTATTTTGGGATCCAAAAGAAAATAAGATCCGGTCTTATTTTTGGGGAAACACGGTATATTAAATCATTTTTAGAGTTAAACTACAGTTTGAACACTTTCCATTTCAAATTGACAGGAAACAATATAATCAATTTTCAGCAGCTATGGTCAAAGATTTCTCTGAGGTACCACCGGTCAGCCCTAAGGTTTCAGGTTGCCAGTCCATGGCTTAATGCAATATGTCAATCAGAATCACTATGCATCTCAGCAATTGAAATTTAGGCAAAATTTTCCAAAAGAAACTATCCTAATGTTACCTAAGGCTCATTTCAACTTGCCTTACAGGATGCAAATCACTAGAGGATATTTTAAATAAATCTGTTTATTTGGGAGAAGTCTACAGTTTGCTCTATTCACCTTCTATTTTTCCTTACTTATCAAAACTAAAATTTGCAGTAGTTCCAATGCCAAGACCAAAAAAAGAGGAATGCTAGGAATTGTATTTCAGCAGCTCAAGTTCCCAACCGCTTACCTTGCTCCCACCTTAAGGTATCAACCCCTTGAACTAACCAGTTGCATTGTTTGTTTGTTTGCATAACTTTCCACCAACTGAGGAACACAGTTTTTATTTGAGTAATATTCTCAATACTATATAAAGAATATTAGCTTTTAAACTATAATGGTATTTTATTGAGTATTGTTGAAAAATGATGTTTTTGCTGCTTATCACTTCACATAATACTTTTAATTTGTTGTATTGTAATTGTATTGTTAAAAATGATGTTTTTGCTGCTTATCACTTCACATAATACTTTTAATTTGTCAAACCCATTACAATAATAAACCTCCAGATAACACTGAATTCCAACTTCAAGCAACCTCAACTGTAATGCAATTGGTGAGCAGTGATGAAAGTTGAAGTCCAACATATGGACAGTCATGTTTTATTAATCTTGCCATTGCTCTGTCTCATAGAGCACTAGTGTTCCAATAATTAATACACAATAGATACTGGACATCCATTCTAATTCCACATCCACTGAAATATAATATATTGACTTTCATTCCTTTACCCAAAAGAAAGGGTCAGAGCAACTACTTTCCCTATGTATCCTCAAATTTTACCAGCATATTTCAAAATGTCTACACTTTCTGGAAGTTATGTTACTTATCATAATTTCCATTGGATGTTCATAAGCAGAAGCTCTTTTACTGTCTCTGCTTGAGGTGCATGCATGCACTTTTCATAAAGGCTCAGGTATTCAATATCTGGGTAACAGTAACCCAAGGTACTTTCTCAAATATCTATGGACTACTTTTGAGGATTACAGGTAATCCTCTCTTACTGACCACTTGTTCAGTGACCATTCAAAGTTATAAAGGCATTGAAAAATAACCCATCCCTTGTCACAGCATTCCCGCAGTCATGAAATCGCAATTCAGGCACCTGGCAAGCAACAGACATTTACAATGATTGCAGTATTTCAAAGTCACATGATCTTCATTTGCAACATTCACAGCCAGCTTCAACCAGCAAAGGCAAGGAGGAAGACAAAAGAAAGTCACAGTCACATGATGTCATACTTAACAACCACAGATGATTCACTTAATGACCGCAGCCAATAGAGAGAGGCTGGTGTCATGTCAGGACAGTCACATAATATATCACTTTATGACCATCCCAGAGTGACAGAATTGCTTGTCCCAAATGTGGTCAATAAGCGAAAACTACTTCTACGCTAAACTGAAGCTATTCCAAATTGCAATAATCAGGGGTTATTGCAATAATATTGATCGGGGGTCACCATTTTTTAAAGAATACTCTTATATTTTTAACAAGAGATTGGACAACCATTTGTCTGGAATGGTACAGTTTCCTGCTTGAGCAGTGGTTTGGAATAGAAGACTCCAAAAGTCCCTTCCAACTCTATTATTCTATTCTGATACCTTGATAAACCAACTGCTTTTAACCAAATATCAAATCAAATATGTAACTTTCCTTCCTTTGCATATGTTCTTAAATATGACTGACACATTAAGGCAGGGGTGTCAAACTCAAAGCCGGGGGGCCACATCTGGCCTGCGGGGTGCTTTAGATCTGACCCATAGGGCCACCCTGGAAACAGTGAAGGACTGGCCTATGGTGTCTCTGCCAGTGAAAACAGATGCCCTCCTGGGCTCCGTTTTCACTGGCAGAGGGTTGCAGGAGGCCATCGCAGGCAAAAATGGAGCTCGGGAGCCTTTCTTTGGTAGAGTGCTCAAACCATCACAGGTGCCCGTGACATGAGTGACATTGAGCTGGCCATGCCCACTCCACTCCCCGAGGTCAAACATAACCCTGATGCAGCCCTCAGTGAAATTGAGTTTGACACCCCTGCATTAAGGTATTCCTCATAATCTTTATTCTTCCAGAATAGATAAGTTTATGATCAGGGACATAGACATTTTTTTTACTGGTACCAAAATTATTGAACATCTTGCCCAAGCCAACTCTCATGGAATCAACTCTTCCCTATTTTTTACAATAGACAAAAGTCTGGTGTTTGCCCAGAGCTTTCAGATCTCATAAATATTTTATACATTGCAAAACATAATTTCCTTGATGTGCCTTTGCTTTAAGTTATATTGTTGTTACAGTATTGCTGTTTTAAAATAAGCTGCTTTGGAATCTGTGGAATACTAGAGTCGAGCAAGATACTGAATAAATATGCACATGCTCTTATGCAAAACCAGTAAATAAACTTTCATTCTATTACAGGAATCCTCAAACCCTGGCCATGGCCCACTACCAAGCCTTGAACCTTTCAGAACTGGGCTGCAGAAGTGGCAGGTGAGCAAGCAAGCATCCCCACTCATGTGAGCAGCGGGCACGCATGGGTACACATACTTCATTTGGGCAAGTAGTGGGCAAGTGGCAGGTGCGCATGCCAGCTGCTCACACAAATGGAACTGCACACATTTGCCCACTGCACGCATGAAACCATCCCCCCACACCAATCAGTCTGCAAAGCCGAGAAAGTTGAGGAACACTGTTCTATTACATAGGAAGAAGGCTGTGAAAAAGCAAAGAGAATGTGTTCAGAGAAGGTGCAGAATATAGAACAAGCACATAGAGAAAGAAAAAAATAAAGAGATAGATATTGTATTGCTGGGGAAAACTTTGGATTCAATGAGACAAATGTGATTTGGAGCTTAGAAACCCCAGTGAAACACACACAAACATGCTGCAATCATGTAGGACTTATGGAGGGCAGGTACACAAGTTGAAGAAAAATGCAGCCAATATGCATGCTCTGAAGCACAATTTTCCCTCTGAATCTGAAGCCCTGCACATACAGGTTTCATTAGTGCCTTGAAGGAGATATCCTATTTTTAAAGGCAACCAAAGGATGCAAACTTTCTTAAACAAGATCCTAGTGGAAGAGTGTGCAGTGGAAAATGAAGCACTGCCACTAAAATGGTGAAGAAATGATGAAGAAAGACCCATAGTTCATTGGTTACAACAGCTGTTACACAAATCAAAAGTACAATACAATTCCTAGGAATCCTAGGTTGCTTCCTATCTGAATTTTGGAAAGCTTGCAGAACTCAGTCTAGTCAATACTGATAAAGATGAAGAAATTGGTTAATAATTTGATACAATTCAACCTTTTATGTTTAATTTGATTGGAGTGTGTAGAAAATGGTCCCATCCAATTATTTGGCTTGTACACTACTGCCACAGAGTGCCCAATTTCTCAATTGGAATGTAATATTTGTTGATGTTGAAATAAACCTGTTTTGGGGACCCACCAAACTTAAAACTATTAATTGTCTTTTAAATATATAAAATAATCAACTTCATTATACAACAGATTTAGATGTAATAACAAACACTATTTTCCAGACCTTATTTGTTTTGCTTTAAGCAACCAAATAATAGAGAAGGAAGGACGCCACCTAGAGGTTTAATCCAAACCATCTACAGAGTATCAAATTCAGAAACGCCAGTCTCAAAGTAATAGCAGTAATAAGCAATGTAATCGTGGACTGCTTTTAAATGCTGCAGATTAAACAGTAGCAGATAACCACAAGACAGAATAGTTTCTCTTGAACTCCTCCCATCCTTCTCCTAAAACATCAGCATTAGTGAATCAAATTAGCAAGCAGCAAGCACTCTGCAACTAACATGGAAAAGAAAAGCAATGCAGTTCCTGCAAGCCTGCTGGGAATTGTAGTTAACTGCTTAGACTACAGGACATCACCTATCTGCACAAACAATATCGCCATCAACAGGCCATTACAGTTAATTACATGCATACACAGCAGGGACTCCTAAAATGTCCTCCTGCTTAATTAAATTTAAAGGGCCTGGTACTTTCCACCCCGCTTTGAAATCTGGGAAGACTAATTACTGAAGACTTGTTTTTTGCTATAAATAAGACAGATACCTACCATATATTCTCCCTTTTTTCATATGCAGAAGAGAAAAAATTTTTCTTTAAAAAAAATGCAGTATCTATTGAAGCTTTTTTCTCTTGCAATATTAGTCATTACAGAAACTTTATCCTACTATAAATAAATCCATAAAATTACGTTAACTCTGCAACTGGGACAATTTTTTAGATAGATTGCTCGTTGATTTTTTGCTGCAAAAACAAGTAAAGACTTGTGCCATCTTAAAGAACACCCATTTATTATTGCCTGAGCTTTCTGGGATTGTAATCCACTTAATCAGGTACACAGAGAATAGCTTGTCAGAAATGTATGCAGGCATATGTATGTGTATATTCACAGTCACACAGAGATGGTTGGGGACGGAGGGAGGAACATAGAATGTCAAAGTTAGGTGTTACATAGATATTTATGAGAGTGCTTTCAATTTTCTTCAGATATTGTATCCTATGACATCCCTCAGCTAATTATTAATTTTTCATATAGAGGATTAGAAGAGAGAAGACAGCAGAATACAATATAAAAAGTCCCAGGTATGGTACAAAGAGACTGCAACCCTAACCCTAACCTTGGCAACTTGAAGACTTGTGGACTTCAACTTCCAGAATGGCTGGCTGGGGAATTCTGGGAGTTGAAGTCCACAAGTCTTCAGGTTGCCAAGCTTAGACATCCTTGTGCCATATTATAAAGAGGAGGAAAGAGATCCTTCCAAAAGGCAAAGTGAGCAAAAGGCAATTGCTGCCTTAGAAATATAGCTATTTGACTAGCACTGTATTGTTACTCTCAAGAAATGGTCTAAGGTCTGGTTTTGATATGATACATCTTGACTATCAGAAAGTGTGTCTGGAAGTAGGGTAGGAGTCTTAAGTACTTAATTCTGTTTTAGCATCGAGCAATATTTGATAATCTCAGAAGATGGCGAGAATCATAGACCTGCCCTTTCGAATGTTAAGGGGAGAAAAGTGACCACATTAGGAAAACATTCAGCCAGTAAAATTCTGGCTTAGATGTGATTCTTCTTTATTTTCTCAGGCAACTTACTTTCCACATTTAGGGTTGCAAGTTCTAACAGATTTGCACTCTAAATAGAGCTGCACTACTTTTGTGACCAGGCAACAGATAAACTAACAGCTGGAATTAAACTGAATGTTGTTAAAGTCTACTAAGAAGCAGTTATTTAATAGGTAACTTATACTTCTCTTGAGGCATAACGAACTGTTTTTCTAAAATCATCTTAAGAAATGAGTTAGCATATACCATATTTCTGGATCTAGAATGATAGATACTCTTTTTAACGTAGCAGCTTTAGCTTTTGGTCACTTTCATACTGTCTTGTTCTCTTTTGTTCTGTAAATCTGGACTAAGCTAGCAAACAATACAGGATTTTGGAATATCTGTTCCTTGTCACTAAATTTTTTTATAACTTACTGGCGCATAGGATTTCATCTTTCACTACAGCATATAAAAACAAGTGTAACTAGCACCTGAGAACTTACATATTTCATTTGCAAATGTGACTATAAGCTAAAATCTATTTCAGCTGTTCTGCTTGCACATAGCCTAGGGCCGTGATTGCGAACCTATGGTAGCCATATTGGTGGACATGTGAGCTCAGCCCTGGCCTTCTGGGCCCACCAGAAGTATTGAAATGGGACCAGAAGTTGGCAAATGGGCTGTTTTTGGCCTCCAGAGGGCCTTTGGAGGGGGGGGTGGGAAAGGCCGTTTTCATCCTCCCCAGATTCCTAGAGAGGCTCTGGAGCCTGGGGAGAGCAAAAAACAGGCCTTCTGGTCCCACCGGAAGTTGGCAAATGGGCCATTTTTGGCCTCCAGAAGGCCTCTGTGAGGGGGAGGCCATTTTCACCCTCCACAGACTCCTAGAAAGTCCCTGGAGCCTGGAGAGAGAGAAAAAACGGGCCTACCAGGCCATCGCATGCCAGGAGCGGGGGGAGCGGGAGGGATTGTGCATGCATGCGTGGGGCGCATAGAATTATGGGTATGGGCACATGCGTGTGCGACACCACCACCCTGCTCCTGGCACACGATGGCAAAAAGGTTAGCCATCACTGCCCTAGGGATAATCTAGCAAGTGCTCTTCAATTATGATATCTTGAATATAGAATGTGGTGCAGAAATCTATTAAAATAAGATATTTATATTGTTTTTTACAGAAACTCTCTGGGTTCAAATTTTTATCAATTTATCAAAATATGAAATACAGAAATATAAAGAAAAATGGATATCATCAGAAAATAAAGGAGGAGAAGGGAAAGAGGAAAAAGTGAGGGTAAAGGGGAAAAGAAAAGCATTGATTTCCGAGTTTATTTTTGGGGGTTTTTGTGCAGTAGAGTAAGGTAGTAACATACAACCTCAACTTTTTACTTTTACATAATAATATATACTAGACATTTCTATAACAACAAACCTATCTAATCAGCAATCTTTTTCCAGAAACTTTAATAGCTTATCTCACTATGCATAGAACCCCAAACCATAGTATAAAAATTTTAACCTAGAGCAATCTCTCCCAATTTTCTAGCAATAATTGCAATCATAAGTATTGCTTTGTGAGCTTCCATTAACTGGATTAATGTTAGAAATTGTTTATTTTTAGATTTTACATAAATATGATTTATGGTACTGTGGATATGCAGACTAATATTGTTATTACTAAAGAAACCATGATTTGATATGTTATGTGAACCATGGCTGTATATGGTTTCTTTATTAAGTACAGAAATAAAAAACTAGTCTGGCTTAATATGACCTGAAAAGATAAAATTATTCAGGTTCCATTATTGTTCAATCTGAGATTCTCAAATCCATTGGTACCCTTTCACTGGGGTTAGATTTGGAAAATAAATATACGAGTCATAATAAATACATTTTACTTCATATATCAGCTCTAAAAAGGCTGATAGAGGTATGTGCCAATGTAGGAGTAAGGGGAACTATAAAGTGCAACTTTATAACACTGTCACTGGAAATAAACAATGAAAAAAATTATATATAATAGGAAGAATAAATTCCTTCAGTTTAGTATAATTCATAACATCTGGGTTTTATTTTTGAATCAGCAATTCATTTCTTGATCCACATTTATTTCTAATCAAAATTTTCATATTAGAGCAACAATTATAGAACATTGTGACTTTGCGGTGAGCTTGTTGAACAGAGCAGAACAAAGTTCAGATATCAATTCAGAGTTGGAAATATAGTGTATGTCAAAGCCAGAGCTGTCAACTTATTGAGGTATAGTGAGAGTGAGTTTTAGCAGAATCCTTCTCTGTCAGGACAAACCCACCCAAAACTACACCCATCGTTAAATTTTCCTTATGACTATTTACCAGGTTGTAAACTACATTTTGAAAATCCCTAGTTTAATCCAATATTGAACAA